TGTGTGTGTGTGCTGTGTGTGTGTGTGTGTGTGTGTGTGTGTGTGTGTGTGTGTGTGTGTGTGTGTGTGTGTGTGTGTGTGTGTGTGTGTGTGTGTGTGTGTGTGTGTGAACGGCATCACTAATGCCTCCACCATCCCCACGAACACTGCCAACACCAACAAAATTTCACCCGCAATATGACACCAATATTGCCTCCAACGCCAACAACAACACTGCTAACAACACCATTATGTCTGAGCTATCAACAATACCATTGCCACCAACAACACTTGGCTTTGGTATTGTTATTGTACTACCATTATTATTATTATTTTTTTTTTTTTTATCTAAGACAAGTTTTTGTTCTCAGTTTTCCTTCTCCATCTTGCTTCCTCGTCGTCCTCTTCCTCTTCCTCCACCTCTTCCATTTCCTTCTCCTTCTTTTCCTTCTCCTCCACCTCTTCATTCCTTCTCCTTCTTTTCTTTTCTCCCTCCTCCACTTTCCATTTCCTTCTCCTTCTTTTCCCTCCTCCCTCCACCTCTTCATTTCCTCCTCCTCCTCCACCTCTTCCATTTCCTCCTCCTCCTCCCTCTTCATTTTCCTTCTCCTCCTCCACCTCTTCCATTTCCTCCTCCTCCTTCTTTTCCTTCTCCTCCACTTCTTCCATTTCATCTTCACCTCTTCCATTCCTCCCTCCTTCTTTTCCTTCTCCTCCACCTTCCATTTTCCTCCTAACTCTTCTCCTCCTCCACCTCTTCCATTTCCTCCTCCTTATTCTTTTCCTTCTCCTCCTCCACCTCTTCCATTTCCTCCTGCTCCTCCTCCTTTTCCTTTTCTTCTTCCTTCACTTCTTTTTTATCATCTTCCTCATCTGCCTTCTCCTCCTCCTCCTCCTTTTCCTTCTCTTTCTCTTCCACCTCTATTCCCGTCTAATTCTTCCTCCTCTATTCCCTTCTAATTATTCCTCCCTTACTTTCTTCCTCTTTCTCATTTTCCTCTTCCTCGTTTTCCTTCCACTTCTTTTTTATCATCTTCCTCATCTGCCTTCTCCTCCTGCTCCTCCTCCTTTTCCTTCTCTTCCTCTTCCTCCTCTATTCCCGTCTAATTCTTCCTCCTCCATTCCCTTCTAATTCTTCCTCCCTTACTTTCTTCCTCTTCCTCGTTTTCCTTCCACTTCCTCCTCCCTTTCCTTCTTCCTCCTCTTGCCCCTCCTTTTCCTTCTTCCTCCTCCCTTTTTCTTTATCTTCCTCCTCCCCCTCCCCTTTCTTCTTTCTCATCCTCCTCTTTTTCTTTTTCCTTCTTCCTTCTTCTCCTCTTCCTCTTCCTTCTCACACTCCCGCTCCCCCTTTCCCTTCCACTTCCTCCCCCCTCCCCCCATCCTATTCCAACTCCTCCATTTTCCTTCTAGTCATCCTTTTCCTTTTTCTTTCTCTGTTCAAGCTCTTATTTATCGTTCTTTCCAATCCTCTGCTACCGTCATTTTTCTCGCCCCCTTCGTCTATATTCCGCACTTTTTTCGTCATTTTATCCTGTGCTTTGTGTGTCTCTTTTTTCTTAACTTTTACTTTATTTGATATGATTTTATGGTCTCAGTGGAAAGAATTTTGTTATAATAAAAAAATATCTACTAGTAATGTTTCATTTTAATCTTTCAACCTACTTCATTTAAGTTTTAGTCGAAACACCTTTGCATTTACAATAAATCATTGTTACTTCACGAAAGGTTATGGAATGGGATTGGTCTCTATGATAGATAAAGTTATATCTTCACTTCTGTCTGACACGGTCGGGGTTTAAAACACGTCCGGGGGTGTCCCAAGCTCGTAAGGACTTTTAAGTTGTTCTGTCCCCAATCCCATGCTTTGGGAACGGGAGCTTAGGCCCATTGTTGGAGAGCGGCCCCAACTTCAGGTCTCGATCTTGGGCTTAACTAATTTTGCAGTGTCTTTCTTTTCTCTCTCACGCACGCACGCACGCACGCACGCACGCACGCACGCACGCACACACACACACACACACACAACACACACCACACACACACACACACACACACACAACCACTCACTCACTCACTCACTCACTCACTCACTCTCTCTCTCTCTCTCTCTCTCTCTCACTCACTCACTCTCTCTCTCACTCACTCACTCACTCACTCACTCACTCACTTCACTCACTCACTCACTCACTCACTCACTCACTCACTCACTCACTCACTCACTCACTCACTCACTCACTCACTCACTCACTCACTCACTCACTCACTCACTCACTCACTCACTCACTCACTCACTCACTCACACTCAACTCACTCACTCACTCACTCACTCACTCACACCACACACACACACACCACACACACACACACACACACACACACACACACACACACACACACACACACACACACACACCACACACACACATACATTCATACATTCATACACACACACACACACCACACACACACACAATACACACACACACACACCACACTCATACACTCATACACTCAACACACTCATACACACACACACTCATACACTCACACACACACACACTCACATAAAAGGCAGGCTTTGGCTCAGGAAGCCATGTAAATTGAAACATCAAGTATGTGAAAACACTCAATCTAAAAATAATCGTATCATTCAGGTTTCTCAGACTTTTTAAGTAACTGTCGCCATTATTGATCTCGGGACAGCGGTCATTCTAACAATTTTCGGCAAAGGAATGAGAATCCATTTTTATAAACAAGAGATCTTTGGAAACGACAAAGGAGAAAGAAAACAAACATATGCTGCAGGTGATTATTATGCAATGTGTTCTTAAAAATTGATGCAAACCATATCGTGTAATTTTAAGATTAATATGATACACACAGCTGATGAGAAACTGTAAGGTACGCTACCAACTATTAAACGAGGAACGTTGTAAACTGCTTAGAATTCACTACATTTAAGTAACAGCTACTCATCTCATTTGTGCAATCGAGTTATTTTGTTTTCTGCATAATCATACCAAAACCACCATAACTCTTTCCCTCATCAACCCCCTTACCCATCTTAACCTTTCAATATTACTCTAGATAGTTGACGCATAGCAACTATCACCTGACATCACCCTTTACTATACCTTCCTATAGTGCTATATGACCTTAGATGTCTAGCACATTTATTTCGCTTTTAACCATTAACCACCATTCTGCATAATCATATATCTGTCAAATCCAGTGGTACTGTACTACAGCATTCCACACACATTGTGCTTATGTATGATATGGTTTAAGCCTCGTCCACATGTTCAAGCTGAGTCCACGGCCACAAGCAATGAGGTGGTTGGGTAACAGCAACAACATTGTGTTCGTCCTAGAACTTGAACCAGTTCACCAGAGAACGAAACAGCAGTTATGTAAGTGTCTAAGGGAGGCGCTACAGTGATTTTCTTACCATAGAAATCGTCGAAAGGCACGTACGCCTATTTCTGTTTCCGACCAATCGTTAAAAGCCGCGTCAATTTCCGCCGCCCACCCAGAGATTACTAGTCTAGATTCGATGTCATTGTTGCTGAGTATTTTGTTCGTCAAACTGCTCACGTCTAGGGTATAATTCCCCTCACTTCTGTCCCGGTTTTGAACGGGCAGAAGCGCGTGACAATGATATAAGTGAACCCGCAAACAATGTCTTATGACCGACAGAGCCAGGCAAGAACACAGCTCAATCATGTGGACTTTTTTTACATTAGTGTTGGGATCTACGACGTACGTTACATAGGGATATATATGCTATGTAAGGTTTTCAGTGAACCAAGCCGGCAAGTTCTGAGTTGTCTATCCTGGTCATTGTGCCTCTTACTCTCCTTGTTTCTTCTTCGCCAGGGACGTGCATACCTCTATTATGAAAGTTGCGCAGCCCAAAAAAACACCTGTAAAAGTGAGATTATGAAAATGAGATAGTTTATTCACACACATGGATTGGAAATTTAAAATGATCCTGGCATGTGATTCGTGTACTTATAGATATACTAGTGATAAAGATAACTCATAAAATACCATGCATTACACAAAACCTTCCAACTACATCTTATCTTGTGAACTATCCAATATTTCAGAATAAAACTTAAACATCGGGTGCTCCGAATTCTTAACGATAATGACGTTTCACTCGCATTAAAATGAAAAACAATAATCAGGACAGAGTAATGAATCTAGCCACACATTCTTCTTTTTTCCTTCTGTTCCTTTCCTTCTCCCCTTCTTTTTCTTTTCCTCCTATTTTTCATTCCCCTCCTCCTTTTCCTTCTTCTTCTTCTCCTCCTCCTCTTCCTCCTCCTTCTTCTTCTTAGCCTCCTCCTCCTCCTTTTCCATCTCGTCCTCCACCTTTTTCTTCCCCCTCCTCCTTTTCCTCCACCTCTACCTGATTTCGCCCCCCCCCCGCCACCCACACACACAATATACCCAACTCACCACCAGCATAGATAGCAAAAACCCCGTAGAAGTCACCAAGGTCAAGCGTACGAAGACTCTCAGAGCCCAGGTTAAAGGTCACGGGCTTTAAACACTCGGTAGCATTCACGAGGGCCTTCTGCAGCAGGTGGTCCAGAATCCCAAATTCTTTTAACCCGCGAATCCTGTTGAGAGAAGGGGATCGTCGTGTTAGTTTGTCTTATTAACGAATCGACGAAAGGTTTAGGAGAAAGTTAGGATATTGATTGCAATTTTGATGTAGACTAATATGGATGATGAGGCAGAATTGCGAAAAATAAAACCCACTTACATATGAAAAGACGAAAACAGACTCAAAAATCACGTAAGGGCAAAATAACATTCTTGGGTTTAGATCCAAGAATGTTAAAGTAAGGTTAAATCATGGATTAAATTAATCCAATAAAAATATATAAAATAAAAAAGCAGGCATAACGAATACTACACGCGCATGCTAAAATCAATACAAAACACGTATTTTTTGTTTTTTTATACATCAATCGTCATATTCAGGCACCAACAAATTCAGACCGTGGCAAGCGTTTTGCTTTTTGAATACCCCATCACCGTCAATCACCATCAGATCCGTTTCCACATTCCGACATCAGTTTCTTCTCTTATACATTCTTGTAAACAGTAAAGAGAATCGGATTCCTTACGCTCGGTCCACTTTAGGCTTGAATTCGGCTCCTTTCCGAATCGCGATGCTTCTGCTGGTGCTCTTCATGAAGGTCTCTGACATTACATATAGCGGACAAGAACCAGTCTGTAATGAGTGAAGATAAAAAAAAAACAGTTAAAAAGAGATAAGGCAATAAGATAAAGCAATGAAATACTAAAAAGACAATGAAAGTTATAGGATAAAGTAACCAAATACTATAGAGACAGAATGAAAATAGAAAAATAAAGTAAATCGATAATAAAGACAGAATAGGAATGGTAAAATGAAATAATGAAAGAACAAAAAGACACGAAAAATGGGATGGAATAAAGTATTAACTAATAAAAAGACGATTAAAAATCCATGTGTCTATAGAGTTGGTCTTCATAATTTCACGGTATCGGTACCCCAAGTTAGATTTTATTAAAAGGAGAGGAAACAAAATGTATCTACAGTATATATATGTGTCTTTAGTGTTTTTTTCCTATTGTGAAGATATTAATTGTGTTAGTTTACACAAACACGCGCGCCTGCATGTGCGTGTGCATGTGTGTTTCCGAGCGCGCGTCTGCTTTTACGCGTATGTGCGTATGTATTATACATGTATTCATATGACTAGTAAGACCGATATCCAACGCACATGAGCCGACGCAGATTTGACCGCCACCACCCAGATCAAGTCCCCAGCAAGGCCGCCGGCGATCCCCCCCTCCCCCTCACCTTAGAGAAGAACTCGTGCATCACAACGGCGATATTAGCCATGGGTCCGGCGCCCGCGACCTGACCGCCCACGATCTCGGCGATCGCCCGTGGGATGTTTTCGTGGGCGTCGACTTGCTTCCTTAGCGAACCCACGACGCTATCCGATGGGGCTTGCTGGAGGGAAATGGGGTTTGGAAGAATGGGAGTAGGATTCAGCTGCTTAAAATTTTCGCTTTGTATTTATCTACTTTTTTTTTCTTTTTTTTATATCCTGCGTTGACATTTAAACTTTAAAATTTTCATCGTTATTTTTTTTTTTTACTGTTCAAAATTTGATGCATTATTTTTTAGATTTCAAAATTTGATGCGTTATTTTTAAAACTTTAAAATTTAATGTTATTTTTTTTTACGATTTTATACCTATCCATTAAAAAAAAAAAAAAAAAATAATATATATATTATATATATATATATATATATATATATATATATATACTCTACATAATATTTAGTCTTTTGTCTATATTTGATATGCTATGTTGATATTGAAGTGTTTCCTTTTAATTCGATATCTTAGGCTGACATCCAAACCTCTTTTTATCAGGTCTGTTGCAATTTCCTCAGACACGTAACGAAATACGTAATTATGATGATTATAATAATATAATTACAATAAAAAGAAAAAATATTAATGATAATGATGATTCAATGATAATGATAGTAATAATGATAACGATTATAATAATAATGGTAATAATAATAATAACAATAACAATAAAGATAATAGTGACAATACTTATAAAGATAATAATTAATAATTCTAACAATAACAATAATAATGTTAACAATAATAAAAATAACAATAATAACAGTAATAATAATAATGTTAATCATAATTATAATCATAATAACAATAACAATAATAATACTAATACTAATCATAACAATAATAACAATATTGATAATGATGATAATAATCATAATAATAATCATAATAATAACAATAATAATAATAATAACAATAACACTAAAACGAAAAGCACAAACCATCCCTTACCATCACATAGTCATGGAAATAGTTCCCTTTGGTCACGTACATGACGATGTTGGACTCGGACAGCTCCTTCAGGTTGTCAAAGGGCAGCACGATCCGCGGCATGATGAGCATGGCCTTGAGGTTCGAGCGGTAGACGGTGGTGAGGATGAGGGCGGAGACGAGCCAGATCCCGCCCACTACTCGGCCCGGGTTGCCGGTCGGTGCCCACCACACGGCTGCCTCACGGGGGGTCGGGGAAGGGAAGGGGAGGTTAAAGGGGGAAGGTAGTGGTGGTTGTGGGGATTGGGAGGGAGAGGAGGGAGAGAGGTTGGAGGGAGGGAGGGAGAGAAGGGGAGAGGGAGGTGAGGAGGGGAGGGGGGAAGGAGGGGAGGGAGGGAGGGAGAGAGGGAGGAGAGGGGAGGGAGAGAGGAGAGGGAGGGAGGGGGAGAGAGGGAGAGAGGGAGAGGGAGAGAGGGGGAGAGGGGAGGGAGGGAGGAGAGGAGGGAGGAGGGAGGAAAGGAGAGGGAGAGAGGGAGGAGAGAGAGAGAGAGAGAGAGAGAGAGAGAGAGAGAGAGAGAGAGGAGAGGAGAGGAGAGGAGAGGA